CTTGGAGGTCTTCTAGTCCAATCCCCTGCTCAGGCAGGAAACCCTATACCATTTCAGACAAATGGTTGTCCAATCTCTTCTTAAAAGCTTTCAGTGTTTTTGTTTGCCGCCTTGAGTTATTAGTAAAAATAATAACAGCTGGATACAAATAAATATAATAAAATTAATATTGCCCCTGAAAAAAAAGAAAAAAATCTCTATCTTCCTCCTTGACAAACAAATAGGCCACCTTGAACAGTGGCACTTAGTGGCAGTGCCAAGCCTGCACCTGAGGTAAAGGCTAGGCCTCAACTTCAGACCTAATGCACATCTGCCATTCAAAGAGGCCACCTCATGCCATTCCCCAAGTGTGTGAGCTTTGGGAAATGGGTGATTGACCCCATGGCCCAGCGGTCCCTAGGATCTGCCATATGCTGCTTACCTTCAAGCAGTTTCTCTTTCTGTTGATAGGCCTCAGCGGCCTACCTGAGGCGGCTTTGGGTCCCACAAGACCTTCATTCTTGAAGTGGCTTCCGAGAATGCTCTTCCAGCCTCAGAAAACCGCCCCAAAGCACATCTCCATTTCCTCATGATTTTCAGAGGCTCTGGAGACTGCACAATTTCCGGAGGCCACAGGAAAGCACACCCCATTTTTGTGCAGCCTCTGAAAATGAGTCATTGACTGAGATGGGCGGTCATGGAACATGAATGAATGAATGAATACACACCAGGACAGGGTGTGCTTTCAAGATGTTGCTGTAAGTTGTTGGTGAATGCTGCCATGTCACTCAAAATGTTGTGGCATGTCACCTTTGACACACATTATAGATTCTCCATCACTGATCTAAAGGTTTATTTTTTCCAAACAGCTGAGTACAGAAATATGATGACACAGCCTAACCAATAGGTGGTGCTGCTCCTCAAATACTTCCCAATGACTTTGACAGGCTGATAACCTTGGTTTGCTTTTCCTGACCAAGAAAGAAAGAAAACGTTTTTACTAGATTTACTTAGATTTTCACTATTTGGGATGCTGTGTTTAATATTGACTTTACTCTGCCCTCACTTAAGACTGTTAATCTTCAGATATGGGTGGATTGCCATTCCCATAATTTCGGGTTAACCTATGCTTGTATCCTGTTTTATAACATTTCATTCCATTAGATAATAGTGGCTGAGTTCAGGCTCCACACCAGGGGTCTTCAAACTTGGCCCTTTTATAACTTGTGGACTTCAACTCCCAGAATTCCTCAGCCAGGCATGCTGGTTGAGGAATTCTGGGAGTTGAAGTCCACAAGTCATAAAAGGGCCAAGTTTGAAGACCCCTGCCCCACACTATACCATATTCTATGTTTTGCACACTGCATAATCTAGGTTCACCTGACATACTAAGCCAAGACTGCATTAATAGTGAAGGATATTGTGTAAATCAGGTTGATAAGGGCTAGTGCAAAGTGTGACTGTAATTGCACAACAAATTAAGCCCAAATGTCTAGCACACCTTTTCCTCCCCCTCCAATCTCTTTAACCAAGGCTCTTAGAGTCTTTGCCCACCACTGACCTTCAATGCTCTATTTATCCTTGAACCAGCAGAGAATTACACCAGCATAACATTTCTTGTAGCTCAGAGTGTGTCTATGGCTACTGTTTCGAGTCAACACAAGCACCTGAGTTCCCTTTCAGGTGAAAGGTAACCAGGCCTAATTGATTTGACCCACATTTATGGCTGCCCTTGGAATTAGGGTAGTTAAAATGAGGAAGGAGCTACTGCGACACCGATATAGTTAAGGGTGACTTATTTATTTATATCCTGCCTGTATTATTTTTTAAGAATAGCACGAGGCAGCATATATACCTAATACTCCTTCCTCTTCCTAATTTCCCCCACTATAACCACCCTGTGAGGAACAGTGACTGGCCCAAAGTCACCCATTTGACTTTCACGCCCAAGGCGGGACTAGAACTCACCATTTCCTGGTTTCTAGACTGATACCTTGAGCAACTTATCAAACTCCTGGGCTGGGGATAAGGTGAAGGCTCCAACACAGGGACGCAGCAGGAAAAAGTTGTTACTCTAGTTCAGTGCAAATGGCAATGTGGCCTTAAGATTCCTGGGCCGTTCTTATTGAATGGCAAGTTGATGACAATTGTAACCAAAGCTTCTATAATTTGGGGGGGGGGGATTTGAGTGACACTGCATGCCCAGCTTTGGTTGCTTTTGAGTTGCAGCATTGCTGGGGGTTGCTTGCACCCAAAAATTAGGGGAATTTTGTTTTTGCTTGACCTTAAGTCTAGAAACCTGGTATATGAATCTGCAGAGATACAGCTGCAATCTATTTGCTAGTAAATGTGCCTGCTTGGGAAACAACATACAGTAGTTAAAGAGCAACTGGTGAGGTGGAATGTAAGATATCACCCCAGTCGTGCTCATTAACCCATTACAGGGGTTTAACATTTAAACAGACATCAAGGAATATTAAACCACAAACCAGCTTTTCCAATGAGGTGTTATGACCCAAGGCCCTTTCGAATCTTTCCCCCTTTCCAATTACCATGTTAGCTGCTGCTCAAATTAATGTTCGGGCAGCAACATTGTGTAATCAGCTTGTTCAGTAGAGGTGTGTTAAAAAGTAATTATGCTGGAAGCAGCAGAGGGAGTAGTTAAGAAGCCAATGGGGAGGGAATGAAAATAGCTGGGCTTGTGAACTCACTCTGGCCATTACAGAAACCTTTCTCAAGGTGGTGTCCTCCAGATATATTTTTCTCAACATTTCCTACAACATCACTGGGCTATTTGTGAAGGCAGACAACCTAGGGCACATGTCTTTCCCAACAAGGTCACTTTATACCAGTGACCTCTCCATGGGCTTCTTTCCCAGGATGGGCTCCAGGCCAGTGACAGCACAAGAAGTCAGAGGGCCTCTTCTAATTCCTTCCCCAGCAATGGCCTTTAGCTGTTCCACACCAACCAGCTGCAGATTTTTTTTTTCTGTTCAGGCCCATATTTATATGACTCACCAAGCTGATTTGCATTTAAAACTACATTTCTGCTTTTATCATTTAAGTCCTAGCTGTGCAGGAGCAAGGTTTTATGGAGTCTCTTTTACGCAGTGAGGGTGCCTGAATTTTCAGGAAGCTGGAATAGCTCCAACTAATAGGGTCCCCCCCCTGCATTGTAGAAGCAAGAAAGCAAGAGTTTTTGAACCAGTGTCCTTAGTAGCTGAGCCCAGTAAGTGTTTCAGTCCAAAAGCTAGCTCTAGTTCAGGGGTCTTCAAACTTGGCCCTTTTATGACTTGTGGACTTCAGTTCCCAGAATTTCTCAGCCAGCATGCTTGGCTGAGGAATTCTGGGAGTTGTCCACAAGTCATAAAAGGGCCAAGTTTGAAGACCCCTGCTCTAGTCTCTCAGGATAGAGAGCTAAATTAAACCAGATGGCCCCACCTGGTGATGAGACAATATTCCATAGCAGGCAAAATAAGAATTCCTTATAAAGAAAACATCTAGAATTTAGTTGGAGTGTAAGCTGGCCTTATCTGAATGCCCAGGGGAAAAAAAGGTAGAATTTTGAATGCACTATGGGGACCACCATCTTGACTTTTCTGACCACACTCTGGTCAACTTGCCTAAATTTTTAGGATAAGCCTCATAGTCTAAGCATTAAGCCATCTGAATTGCATCTAAATTGCAGCAGGTGTTTTGTGAAGAGTATATATATTTTTATTGAAACAAAATAAAAACCTAATATATAAAGGGGAAAAAAGGTAAAAAAAAAAAACTTGCCAGAAAAGTTGAAGAAAAATAGAAAAAAATATATGTATATATGGCTCCCAATAGCCTTCACAGCAGGCTGAAGTACAACTATATACCTTAACCAAATGTATTTCTAAATCTCTAAAGTTACAGCCTATTACACTTCTTTCGGTAATCTCTCCCATTTTAAACATCCAAACCATAAATCCCAAATTCTTTTTTTTTTTTATGCAAAACCTCTTAAAGAGGCTTCCAGTCACTAATAAATGTAAAACTGCAGCGGATGACTTTGGAGGTTACCAGGAGTCATAGGGCATACTGCCAGCAGATCCCACCTCCGTTGCTGTTAAAAGTAAAACTGGATAAAGATCAAAGCCATTATACCTGTTAAGCTTAAGGTTACCCTCCGCAGAGCGGCATGGCTATTTCAACTAGCAGGACTGGCCTAAGGGGAAATTTTTAGCGGGGTTTTTAAAAAACAATTTTAAATTAATCAAAGGCCAAATCTAATATTTCATTTTAATTATGTCTTTTAACGATAGTATTGGGGTATCTTTTGTATTTGTTTTTTTTATCAGGCTGTCAGCCGCCCTGAGTCCGTAAGGAGAAGGGCGGGGTAAAAATTCAATTAAATAAATAAATAAATAAATAAATAAATAAATAAATAAATAAATAAATAAATAAATAAATAAATAATTAATAATGCAATACAGTGCAATTTATTCAGCAGAAGCAATAATAGCGCGCCCTGGGAAGCCCGGGGCCCCACCAGATTTCACCGCACAATTCCCAGCAGCCCAAACCAGCATAGCCATACCTGGGATGTTTCCCCGCTTGCCCTCTCCCCTCCGCCTCCCCCCCCCCCCCCCAAAAAAAATCCTCTTGCTGCGCCGTCCCGGCCTCCATAACTCCCCCCCCCTCCCCCGTCCTCCCCCATTGAATCCTAGCCTGCCTTGCAGCTGTGATACAGGGCAGGGTTGCGCTGGCGAGTTTCTGCACCAAAAGCCCATAAGCGGCTGCCCACGATTAGAGAGGCGCGGCCGCGGCTTTGGCAAGGCTGCAGGGGCAACGGATCCTGCAAAGGCGTCGAAGGCTTGGCGAGACAGCGCTCGCATCCCGGAACCGGGCGAAGCAATGCTGCAGAATTCCCACAGCCTTCTATTTAAAGAGACCGGAGAAGAGGAGGAGGAGGAGGAGTGAGGAGGAGGAGGAGGAGGCCGGCCGGTGGGAGGGAGGGGAGGAGGAGGAGGAGGAGGGAAGAAGAAGAAATAAAAGACGAGCCCCGTCGGAAAGCACGCCTGAGCGAGAGACGAGAGGTGGAGAGTGAGAGCGCGTGCTTGCTTGCTTGCCTGCCCCGGCTGCGGTTGTATTTCGGAGGGGAGAGAGAGAGAGAGAGAGAAAAGACCATTTTCAGAATCGCCATGGCGGAGGCGTTTGCCGGTGTGTGGAAGCTGGTCGAGAGCGTCAGTTTCGACGACTACATGAAAGCGCTCGGTACTGTAAGGGCAGAGATTTGGGGAAGGGTTGGGGGAGAGGGAAACGGACTCGGCGCTCGCTTTGGGAGAATAAAGGTTGACTTCGTGGACGGCCGGGGCGACGCCTCGTCCACGGCGGTGCTAGAGTTTTACTAATATGGTGCTTGTGGTTAGGTTTCCCCCCCGGGAAGCAGTCTCCGTCCATCGTGGCCTTTCGACTTTAAAAATAATAAAAAAAATGGGTGTGGTTTGGAAACGGGGGTCTGGGTCTCCCACTTCAGGTCCCCCGTCTGCCCCCCCCTCCACGGTCCAGCTTATAAGGTTCGTAATTATTATTTATGGGAATGGTCTCGATCCACAGTCTCCCAGGGAACGTGCAGGTTCCAACGATAGAAGAAATTCCGGATGGCCCAATGGATGGGGATGACTGCAAGTCCTGCAAATGATACACAATGTGTATCTTGGTGGGGCTGGCAAAAGACAGAGTCAAAGGGCTTCTGCAAAAGGCGGGCCCTGACAAGCCATGAGAATGGGAGCCACCTGGTAGGGGCAGCAGAGTGTCCCAGAGAAGGAGGGCCCCCACCAACGAGTCCCTTCCCTATCCCCTTTCAAAATGGGAAGGAGACTTATCAGTAGGTGCTCTGGAAAGCTGGGCTTGTAGGTGATAATTATCCAGCACCTTGAGTTGCACTTAGACAATGCAATGGCTGTGGTGTAACATGGTAGTAATGAGCCTGAGCAGTCAGCCCAGGGGCAGCTGTGTGTCCCCCCTAATTGTTCCCAGGTGGTCTTCAAGGCAGTCCCAGTAACGAGAATAAACTATGTCATATGACAAAGGCATGAGTGACTGTCCTTGGTGTCATTTGAGGCATGTGGATACAATGCAATGACACCTTGAGATTTTCCATTGCTCAGAGATAAAGCAGCAAAGAGATGGGCTTTGCAGGGCTAGGCTTTCAACACTTTAGTACTTAGCATTACCTGAGCTACTCCTTGTGTAAACTCATGTCAGTGTGGTAAATTTAATTGGAACCCTCTTTTGGCCAGCCATGTGCCTGGGGTTCTCTGGCTTCTCCTCCCCACCAGCTCAGCATCTGGTAGTGATTTCTGCAAGAGGAACTATGGTACATGAAGGCAAAGCGTGTATTTCACTGAATGAGAGGGTATGTAGAGGTGGGGTGATTGATCACGTGATGGTGTCCTTTTCTGCCAGAAGCTGCTCTGATAGGGTAAGACTCTGCTGCTGCTTCTCATGAGTAAGCCTGGAACCCTGGAGGGCTTTCTTGCAACTTAAGATCTTTAGGGAACGGATGCACTCAGTGTGTAGTGAGGAAAGAGGGTGTGGGAGCCATGGGGGTATTTGCTCATTCAGCTGGCGTTGAGCCTGGTACAAATTCTCCCTCCCCCCCCCATTCTGGGCCTGATCCTGCCAGAAGTAAGACTTCTCTGACCTCTTAACTCCTGTGTAGCCTTGGCCTTAGGCCAATTTTGCACAGCTCTTGCCTGCCTTCATTGGGTGCGGTTTTTAATTACTTTTGCAGATAGAAGGGATTAAAATTCTGACATCCCCCCCAATTCTTGTGTGCTGAGTAAGGATCCTTAACCAGGTGATCCCACTACAGTTAGCAGACTTTATTTCTACCTAAAACAAACATAGGATGATTGCGGAACAATGAGGTATTCATCTATATTACATATGTAGCCTGCCTTTTGTTCGGCAGCCCCAGAGAGGAAGCTGAAGAGTTTCTTAATTTTAATTTTTCCTGATGACACTCTTGTGGAAGTGGGTGGGATTGAGAGAGAGTGATTGGTCAAAATGCCCTCAGGGAACTTCTATGGCTGAAGGTGGAGTAGAAACTGAGTCATCTTGACCACTCTCAATTTTTTTATCCAGGTAATTCTTGACTTAATGCTTAGTGACTGTTTGGGGTTACAACAGACTTCCCCAGGACTGTCTATGAAGTTCTGGTAGCTAGACCCCTCGCCCGGGTTATGAGATTGCATTTTAGGTGCTCTACAATTGACTGGATTTATGGCCAATTGCACTATCTTGTGGTAGTAACCTATTGTCCTAAGTTGAGGACTACCTGTAATTGAAACATATATCTTACCACTCTGCTCCGGGTAGCTCCATTAGCCCCCACTGGTACAGCTAGCTCACTTACGATTCTGCATTTACACAGGAAAGGGAGAAGCTTTTAGCTGATTGTATGTATTTTTTTATTTAAAAAAAAATAGGAAAGCAAACATACTGCCATAATATAACAGGGTTTTTCCATTAAATTCTGCTGAGTGGATCCCAGAGGTTTGCCAGAAGCTACCAGAGTTAGAGTTCATGAATACAGCAATGAGAATGATTTATGAGGTATTTGTAACCTATCTGTATCTGCAAGGAAAATGCTGGCAATTCATCCGGATCTGTATGGCAGTTTTCATTCCTTTGACTCTTTTCAGATCCCTGTGAAGCAGTGGAGGCTACAGCTTTAAAGGGAAGTTTACTTAACAGTTATGCTATTATATAGGTAGCACAATAAAAAAAATCTCAGATGGAATGAGGAGGAATATATTCTCTCACTTTTTATGAACTATCATAACCATGACAAACTCTAGTTTAAACTGGAGGAAAGGTAGAAAGTTTGCTTGAATCTGGGACGTTCTAGTGCAGAGGTCTTCAAACTTGGCCCTTTTATGACTTGTGGACTTCAACTCCCAGAATTCTTCAGCCAGGCATGCTGGCTGAAGAATTCTGGGAGTTGAAGTCCACAAGTCATAAAAGGGCCAAGTTTGAAGATCCTTGTTCTAGTGCTTGATTTCCGAGCAGTTCCAGTACCAAAGTATGTGTCAAGCCCAAAGATGACACAACAAAATCCAATGGAGTCCAATGCTTTATTTGCTTACACTTAATGAATCTTGCCAGACTAAAACTGTAACCCTCTCCTCTGATAGATATATCCTGAGAGATGCTAGTGCATGGCAATTTTGAACCTCTTTCCCACATCCAGCTTGGGCCTGCTCAATCTGGCCATTCTCTGGGAAAACTCTGGGAACTATCTCCATTGCTTCTCCAGGGGTAGACTCCCATCACAGGATGCACCCAAATGTTGAGAAATGCACTCATGCCACCTCATAAATGATCTCACTGCTGATGGCCAGCAAACTTCTTGAGTGAGTCTATTACTACTTTCTCCAGCTGTCTGATGCAGAATTGGCATTTCGGTCAGCATGCCTTCTCCCTACAATTGCAACCATAGAGATGGGAGACTGTGCTGATAGTGCTTCAAAAGAAATGCCACAGTATTGTCTTTATAGTGTTTTCTTGCTATCAGCAACTAAGCCAGAAGTCCATATTTACATAGGCTTATTTTTAACTCTCTTGAATGTGAATCCCCTTAAATAGGGCTACATGGTCAAAGAAGCAAGACTGTTTAATATTTGGAGGCCAGATATGTATTAGCCAGAACCTGAAAGAGGAGATAAGTCATTCTCCTTGGTGAATAATTTGTGTAGACTCTATGTGCATATTTCCTTATCTCCAACAATAAGAGGTAGGCTGGGTTTTCCTATCTGGTGCCTTCTCCAGATTGTTGGACCTCATTGCTCAAGAGCAGCTTTGGGAAGGGATATTGCTCAATGGCAGAGCATCTGTTCGCATGCCAAAGATTCCAGGTTCAGTCCTCAGGATCACAGGTACAGCTGTGAAAATCCTGCCCAAACCCTGGAAAGCTAGCATTAAGTCAGTGGTGCCAAAATCAGACTGCAAGGAGCAGCAGTGTGAGATGACTTATGATCCTTGGCTAAGCGGGGTACAATTTGAGAACTGAAGTCTAAGAGCCCCTGTTGGAGAAAGCTGGATTAAGCTTAAACTTTTTCTCATGGGGACTTGGAAAGTCAGGGGAAAGGCAAGCTGCTACAAGCTGGGCTACTTCTGTTCCCCTCAATCAAAAGCATTTGTGTGTTCTTTTAGGCTTGAAGGGCAAAAAAGGACATCAAGAAAAAAATGTTGGGACCTCCAGTGGGGTCACTTAGCCATTTCCCCCCATTTCATTGTTGTTGATTAGCCTCTATCAAAGGACCCCTTCCCTTCCACATTATGCAATGTTTGAACAGACCCCTTCCCTTCCCAAATTATTTTAAGCAGATATGCAAGGGAATGACTCCTGGGCTTTGGGCCTGCAAAGCAAGTGTCCTTCTCCTTAACTTCCTTCCTTCCACAGTGATGTTTAGTTCTCCAATTCTGTTGCCCAAGGAAACTCCAATTTTAATATGGAGAAAAACCAAGCAAAGATTCTTTGTTCCTCTGGTGAATGGAGAGGTCAGTATTCCTCATGCTCATGGCTAGTTTATTTCCCTAGTTTATTTGTTCCCTTACTTTTCCTTTGAAGGGGTATTGAGCGGTCTTTCTGTGCTCACAACAAGTGCAGGTCAAAGTAGCCTTTTGGGGGGATGGTGAGAAATTTGAATTTGGATCTCCCCAATCTAGTCAGGCTCTTGAACGGCTACTGCCCCTTACTACTTAATGTCCTAGAGAGGTTGTGGTATAAATGCAACTCTTATGGCAGCTGGAATACTGAGCATTTATGTCTGACTGGGTATGGTCACATACGTGAGATGGGCTGCTTTAAAAATTGGATGGGAGCATGAAAGGACAGCTGCTTTTATTTAATAAATAAATAAAAGAGCATGAAAGAACAGCTGCTGCCTGCTGAATAAATCCATTAGATCAGGCAGCAAAATGCAAAAAGGCAACTCCACACCAAAGGAATGCTAAGTACTATAAAAGAGCCTTTACATTCATGTAAGAGGCTCTTCTCTAGATCACACATCTTATTCAAAGAGCATATATCAAGCAATTCTATGCAGATACCAACGGCTCTTTGAAGTCCGCTCCATTAAATGGTTCTGCTCCAGGAGGGGGGAAAAATGGCTTGGCAGCTAAAAGGCAATTCACATTCTTTGGGTGAAACCCTTTTTGCTGCCTGACAAAACTTCCATCTTCCGTTCAGTTCTGCTTGGATTCTGATAAACAAAGACTTTTCTTTGGAGAGAGGGAAACTTTTTTCAGCTTTTCAGGATCTTTCAACTTTGCTTCAAGAAGCTGCACTTGACATTACTGACATTACCCTTACTGAAAAGTTATGATTGGTATTGGATATTCTACACATGCTAAGAGATGGGTTTCTTTTAACTATTGTTGGATAATCTAACATGGCAGATTTACCAGTCAAACCCAAACAAACCATACTAGAGTTTAACACATAAGTCAAATAATTAGTGCAATATGAGTCCAACTCCTACATTCTACAATTATTATTTATAATTTAGTCAAATTATAGTTAACAAAATCATGGCTGAGTTTGATATATGAAGCCAACCAGTTACAGAAAGATCATCTAAGCCAGGGGTGTCAAACTGTCGGCCCGTGGGCCGGATGCGTCATCCGGAAGCTGTGCCCACCCTATTGCTGGCAATGGCAAAACTGTCCCGATATGAGTTTGACATGTCTCATCTAAGCAGACTAGTTTGATTCCTTTTTTTAAAAAAAAACAACAGAATTATAGAATAGTAAGGAAGGGACACTTTAATCTAAAGTAGAATTGGACAATCTCTGATTAATTTGCAGTAGCTAACAATGTTTCCATGTTTTTAGGCTGCTAAATATTTGGTTTTTATTTTTGGCCTCTTTTTCCTTTGTTATAGGTGTGAACTTTGCCACAAGACAAATTGCCAATCTGACCAAACCCACCACCATTATTGAGGTGGATGGTGTGAAAATTACCATCAAAACTCATAGCACTTTCAAGAATACAGAGATCAATTGCAAAGTGGGAGAAGAATTTGATGAGACTACAGCAGATGGCAGGGATGTCAAGGTAAAGATCTGATCACAGTTGGAGCAATGATGTTTGCCATTCCCTTTAGGACCTACTGACAGTCTAGACAAGAACTTCAGCATCAGTTTTTCACCAGTACAGGTTTTTTTTTTTGTCCATCTAAATTAACAGTGACTGCTCCAATTAGTGGATGTTCAGGTCCTATTTTGCCTTGTTTGGCTCTTCCAAAAAACAAACAAACACCAGCCAAAACCAGTGGTAATTGCAAAACAGGTAACAGATTAATTGCTTAATTTCTGATATGGAATATCACCACACCTACATGAGAAGTGTAGATCTATATACCGAATTCATTCCCTGTCCCTCAGCACCTCAAGACAGCTCACAAATAAATTAGAATACTATGCAGTATATGGTATATATTATGTTTATCATATTACTATTATGTGCCTAAAATGCATAATACAATTTTGGGGCAAAATAAGATCCTTGCTGATAGATGAAAATTATCACTGGGTAAATCTCCCTGGGTATGAGCTTTTCTTAGTTGTCCTTTGTCCATTTGTCATCAACATCATTTTGGATACTATATTTCAGGTGTCCTGTCTCCTACAATAAGACAGGACACCTGGAATATAGTATCCAAAATGACTTTGATAATAGTTGGAAGATTGAGTTGGGGCAATTTGTCCTTCTCTCTTTTAAAACTAGGAGTTAAGCTAAATTCATGGACGACATAGCTGGAAACAATTCTCCATGGTAGTCTCTCTTTTTTTAATAGAACTAACATATGGTAAGATCTCATGCTTCATGATTTTCTTATGGCCCTCAGATTGGCTGGTGCTGGTTTAGATAAACCTTTAGCCTGTTCTATTCAGCCTTTTTGAAATCTTACATGGATAGTTGGGAAAGTTTGTATTGTATTGTGTTGTGAAGGTTTGCATATAGGGCTTTTTTCTATTGATCTGCAGCTGCAAGAATATTCAAAGTGTACAGTGTCTGTTGACAAAGCCTGAAGTTGAAGCCCTTTGTGTATTTTATGTGAATGGCCCAGAGTGTCACACCCACACTCCCTTCTTTGATTGGGGGTTTATTCCTAAATAAATACTGAAGCCAATCTTAACTTGGATACTTATTCATGAAACTGAACTCTTATCAGAACTTTGATAAAATAAGCCTATTCATATGGCTTTCATCTTCCTGGTCCTTAAAAGGAACTTGTGCTACTGGTTTTTTAAAAGTAGTTGTAAATGACAGCCTGACAGACCAAAACCTTGAGATAATTATTTTTACTAGCTTAAAGTTATAAGCCCAGAGTTACCCTGTGATAAAATGGGTGGCCAATAAATTTAATATTATTATTATTATTTATTGAATTTATATACTGCCCTATCTCCCTTACGGGACTCAGGGCAGTGAACAGGCGATAATAAAAACCACGATAAATATACACAAGTTTCTGTTCTAAAATCAAATTAAATAACAGGCCTGCTCTAAAAGTACCCCATACAAAACCCCCACTAAAACATAATCAAACTACGCCAGGCCGGCCGCACGGAATAGATGGGCCTTCAGGGCTCGGCGAAAAAGACGCAGGTCCGCAACTGTACATAGGTCGGGGGGTAGGTCATTCCAGAGGGCAGGAGCTGCCACAGAGAAGGCTCTCCCCCTGGGGGGTCGCCAGCCAGCATTGTCTGGCCGACGGCATCCTAAGGAGGCCCTCTCTGTGGGAGCGGACTGGTCGAAGGGAGGTGTTTGGTAGGAGGCGGTCTTGCAAATACTTAGGTCCATTGCCACGGAGCGCTTTAAAGGTTGTTACTAACACCTTGAAGCGCACCCGGAAGGCCACAGGCAGCCAGTGCAGCTCGCGCAGGAGAGGTGTTACATGGGAGTATCTAGACGCCCCCAGGATCCCCTGCGCGGCCGCATTCTGAACTAGCTGGAGCCTCCAGGTGCACCTCAAGGGGAGCCCCATGTAGAGAGCGTTGCAATAGTCCAGGCGGAAAACAACGAGGGCTTGAGTGACCGTGCGTAGAGCGTCACGATCCAGAAAGGGGCGCAACTGGCGTATCAGGCGAACCTGATGAACCCCTGGCCATGGCCGTCACATGGTCGTCTAAAGACAGCCGAGTATCCAGGAGGACGCCCAGGTTGCGGGCCCTCTCCGCGGGGGCTGACTCACCCCCGATAGCCAGGGATGGAGCCAACTGGTTATGTCGTGATGCCGGAAACCACAGCCACTCGGTCTTGGACGGGTTGAGTCGAAGCCTGTTCCTCCCCATCCAGACTTGCACGGCCTCCAGGCACCGGGACATCACTTCCGCGGCATCGTTGGGGTGGTCCGGGGTGGAGATGTACAGCTGGGTGTCATCTGCGTACTGATGAAACTCCACCCCGAAACCACGGATGATCTCACCCAGTG